CATGCTTATCTGGCATGTAGAGCAGTGAGAAGGCTCAAGGCATTGTGGGTAGGGGCTGAGACGCGGGAGTGATGGATCGCTGTCCTGTGGGTAACAGGATGTGCTTGCCATTGGACTGTGGTTGACGAATGTGGGTCCCCATGGTGGACTGTGTAATGGACAGGTTGCTTCACACACTGGGTAATGAATTGTGCTTGTCATGGTATCCTGGAGAGTGAAATATGGTTGCCATGGAAATTTGGTATAATGGAATGTAGTTGTCATGGTGCTGGGGCAGTGGCTGGGGGTGTCAGGCACTGGAGGTAGTGGCTATGAGTGTTGGGCACCATGGCCCTGGCTGTAGGCACCGGGGCACTGGAGTGCAAGTACTGTTGGCGACAGTTTGGTTGCTGGGGCATCATGTTGTAACGGGCTTTGGCTGTGGAACAAGGTATGGGACCTGTTGTGGAAGGTGGTTGCCATGGCGTCGTGGCTGAGAGCGTGGTTGCCATGTCACTGTGGTTAGCCGGCCTGGCTGGCCACTCTGCTGTGGGTAATGGAATGTGGCTTCTCAGCACTGTGGTTAACAGATTGTGGTTGCCACGGTGTTGTGGGTGGTAGAAAGTGGTTGCCACAGCACTGCGGGTAATGGAATGCGGTTGCCATGGTATTCTGGGGAGCAGAGTGTGGTTGCCGTGGTGGCTGGGCAGGAGGCTGTGGGGGCCAAGGTCCTGCTGGTTGAGTGTGGCAGGTCCCCGGCAGGGTGTGCAGGGCTGGGGTCAGGCTGTGGACCACTGAGGCTCTTCTTGGTCTTATGAGCCAGGGGTGGGGTCAGAGCCATTTTCCCTACAGGGGTCAGTAGCCCCCGGGATCACAGTGACTCCCTAACCACACATTCCTGCCCCTCGGCCCCCAGGACACCCCTCGTGTTTACAGTTCACGGTGAACATGACAGCGGCTGTGCGGACCTACCGCTGGCAGTGCATCGAGTGCAAGTCCTGCAGCCTGTGTGGCACCTCGGAGAACGACGTGAGTGCCTGCCGCCTCCAGGGGACCTACCCCAGCCACCCTCCCCACCTGGCCCCTTCACTTTGCCTGTGGAGCCGGAAGCCTTTCCCAGAGCTGCTCCTGGGGAACACCAGTAACGCGCATCATTGTCATTGTTAGTGTCCATTAACTGAGCCCGGCACTTTATACTCCTCATCTCTGACACCTCCCAACCACCCGCGAGGTAGGTGCTCTTGTTCCCACTTTACGGAGCAGAAGCCGAGTTCAGAGAGGGATGTGGCCTGCCTGAGGTCACCTGGGATGCGAACCACAACTCCCTCCCAGAGCTGGTATCCTCAGTCTGCGAGGCCCAGAGACCTCGACCCTGAGCTCAGTCCCCAGGGGTGTCTGCGCGTGGCCCATGATGCAGGCCCCAGAGCCTGCTCTCGGGAAGGGGCCACCTCCCCCAGCCCCTTCCACCTCGCCCCTGCCCCAGCCCCCCACCCCGGTTTCTGGTGCCCGTGCCCCCAGGGTGCCAGCTGGGCGGGTCTCACCCCCCAGGACCAGCTGCTGTTTTGTGATGACTGCGATCGGGGTTACCACATGTACTGCCTGAGCCCCCCCATGGCGGAGCCCCCAGAAGGTGAGAGAAGGGACGACGTGGGGGTGGGTGGGCCGGAAAACTGCACCTGGTGGAGACCCTCTGGGTGGGAAGGGGCAGGCCACCCTCCCGCACTGTGCCTAACTCGGCCCTCCGCCACCCGCCTGCCCCGCAGGGAGCTGGAGTTGTCACCTCTGCCTTCGGCACCTGAAAGAAAAGGCCTCTGCCTACATCACCCTCACCTAGGCCTGGCTCTGGTTCTCCGGACTCCAGGGTGGTGCTTGCCCACCTGCCTCTCGCCCCACCCTGTGCCCCAGTGTGAGGGGAGAGGGTGACGCCCCGGGGCTGGGCCGCCTGTCCCCTGCCAGTGAGATGCTGGCCTGTCCCCTGCCAGTGAGATGCTGGCCCTGTGGGTGGGTGGCGCCCGCCCTTCCCCCCCATCCCTTGGCAAATGAGCACCAGGGGCTTCTGCTCCCCTCAAAGCCATACCCCGCCTCTGGGCGGGCACGAGGGGTAGTGATGCCAGCCAGGGGCATGGACAGAGCCTTTTTCTAAAGAAAAAGACAAAAACTAAAAAAAAGAAAAAAAGGAAAAAGGAAAAAAAAGAAATTAATATATACGAAGAGTCCTGTGAGGCCTGGCTGGGTGAAGGGCACTGCTGAGCGTCCACTGGGCACCCTTCTAGGCCAGCTTCCTGCCTGGCGCCCCACCCCCACTTCTGGAGTCGCAGCTGTCCCACCTCCCCACCTACGGTGGGCACCGTTCCCCTTGTGCCCAGGGTGGGTGGGCATGGTGTCCACCCTCGCCCCCTCCTGGTGCCCACCGTGGATACTGCATGATGTGAACCATGGTTTTGAACTCTGTTCCTGCCCCTCCCTGACAGCCCCACCCCGTGCCCACCGGTGCCAGCCGTGCCATGGGCACCGTGGCGCGAGGAGGCCCTACCCAGCGCCTGCTGGGACGAGAAGCACAGACCTGCAAAGGACTCATTTTTTTTCCTCCTCCGGCTCCCCGTCCCCGCCTGGCCAGGCCAGGCTGCCCCCGCCGACCCTGCTGGCCATTTTGGGGGCAGCAAGGTGGCGCAGTTGTTTCTTGTGGTTGTGTGTGTTTGTTGTTCGGGTTTAAAAAAGGGAAATTGAGACTGCAGGTGGGGGTGGGTCTGGGGGTCCCCCCAGTCCAGGAGAACCCTCCCTGTACCCGAGTCTCCTTCATTGCCTGCCTCTGCTGTGAAATACCTTGTTCTGTGTATTAAACTGGGCCTGACCCCTCTGCCCACCACTGCCTCCTTCTCCAGCTTGGTTTGGGGCGTCACCAAGAAGGGGAGCTGGGGCCTCCTTGGGGGAGAAGCAACTGCAGGGCCTCTACCTCCACCACCACCTCCTCCCCTGCACCCCGCCTCCCTCTGGCTTTGTCCCAGCTCCTCCCAGCCTTGCCAGAAAGGAGAAGAGGGGGATGGGGCGGAGGGGGCTCCCGCCCAGCCAGCTGTGGTTGCCCTGGCAACGGACTGCTGCAGCTGCAGCGGGAGGCAGGAGGGAGGCGGGAGTGAGGATGGGGGAAGGGAGGGATGGGAGCCTGGCGGTCCCTCCCAGGCCAGAGTGGGGAGTGGGGGTGTCGGGAGGCACCTCAGTCCCACTGTCCTAGATATGGGCAAAGAGGTGGGGAAGGAGAGAAGACAGGTGGGAGAGGAGGCGGGAGGAGTGTTTAGACCCAGGGACAGGAGGAGAAGGACTGGGGTCGGGGTAGGCGGGGTGAGAGGGAGAAAGGTTGAGAGTCACAAATTTATTGAGAGAATCAGAAGAGGACAGAACGGGACCGAGAGATGAGGAGAAAGCCACAGGAATTAGGGAAGAGAGCCCCGAGAGAACAGAGATTTAGTGAGGGAGGAAATCATAGTAATAAAAACAGCAGCCACGCTGGGAGACAGGGAGGCGGGCGGGGTCTGGAGGGAGAGGACCCAGGAGTGATGGAGCGTCGGGCGGCCGCGCCCCAGGAGAGGGGGGAGGAGGAAGGCCCACATGGGGACAGCAAGGTCCCTGGACAAGACAGTGGTGTGGACCTCTGGGGGAGGGACAGACCCAGAATCTAGGGGAGCAGCAGAGAAACCTGGAGATGGGTAGAGGTGTGGAGGCAGTTCAGAGCCTGGGCAGAGGCTTGGCTGGAGTGGGTGGTCAGTGAGTTGGGGGCCAGGAGTGAGGAAAGCTGGGGCGGGCGGGGTGCAGCTGAGGCGCTCTAGGGGCTGGCCTTGTGTTTGGGTTGCGGGGTGCTGCTGGTGTCTGCTGGCTCCAGGGGACGATGTGAGAACAGTTTGTTCCAGGTCCCACCCCCCTTGGCCCCTGCTGGTGGGGGGAGGGCAGCAAGGCCTAAGGATGGGGCCTGGAAGAGGGTGGAGAAAGGGAGAAGTCGACTCTAGACTGCTTAGTGGGAATGGCTGCTCTCCCCTCCACCTACTCCCCACACTTTTGGAAAAATATACTTGGGGGGAGGGGCCTGAGTCGGAGAAGTATGGGTTTTGAGATGACAGGTAAGTGGGCGGCGAGGAGGGGTGCACAGACCCCGCCACATGGCCAGCCCCTTCCAGAGGCTTTGTGAAACCCACAGGAGCAGAGCTAAGACTTCCCACACAGGCTAGGCCTTGGATCTTCACATGGAATTCCCAGAACTGAAAATCAGTTTATCCAAATTCCCACCCAACTTCAACAGATGCAGATCTGGGACCATAAGTTCAAGTCCCCTCCTCAGCTAGAAGGGCCCCAAAGGAAGGCCTTGCTCTGGCTGAGGTCGCAAGGGTGTGTTGTCTTTCTCACATGGAGGGAAGGGAAGCCATGTTTTGCCTCCCCTTTGCAGGAAGAAGGGGCAGCCTTGACCCCGCGCTGCCCACTAGACGGCTGGCAGAGGGAGATCCCTCCACCAGCACAGAGAGAAGGGCTGTGGCTGTGGCAGGAGATGCAAATAATCTCAGAAACTCAGACAGACTCTCAAGATAAAAATTAAAGGGGGTTGGGGATGTGGCTCAGTGGTAAAGCACCTCTGGGTTCAACCCCCCAATACTAAAAAAAAAAAAAAAAAGCAAATGAGCTGGCACTGGGATGTGCCATCTGCCTAAAGAGGCAGAGTCTAGCCACAGAAGACTAGGCACCAAAAGGAAAAGTGTCCCCTCCCCCTGTCACCAATACTTGGAATTAAACCCAGGGGCGCTTCACCCCCAGCCTTCTTGGTTTTGAAACAAGGTCTGGCTAAGGTGCCAGGCTGGCTTCAAACTCAAAGTCTTCCTGCCTCAGCCTTCCAAGTCTCTGCGATTACAGTGGTGTGCCACCAGGCCCAGCAGAATCTCACTCCTTTAAATTTGGGGTCATTTCACATTCTGAGGTTGGCTTCCGGCAGGAGGGGGCTGATGTGGACTGGGCGGCCGCCCAGCTAGTGAACACACAAGCCATTTCTATGAAACATTTATTTCCTTTGAAACCTCCAGAAACATGCCAGAAAATCTCAAGACAGGGATGGGAGGGGGAAAAAGACAGTAAAGAATAATTAACCAAATGAATCAAATCAACATGAAAAAAAGCCTACTATCTCAGCCATCAGATAGAACACCAACCTCAAATTAAATAGATTTGTTGTGCAGAAATTCTTTAAAAATAACAAAATAAAACCAAAATCATAATTTACACTTGTCAATGTGTATGATCAGGTCCCCAAAATGATCGAATGATCTGAAGATATGAGAAAAAAGAAATAAAGGCTCCAGGTTAGGGTCTGAGGAGGGGGGGTGGGGCGGGGGTCTGGAGAACCCCCGAGAAGGGGACCAGGGAAGGAGACATCACAGTAGTTGGCCAGGGCTGGGGAGGGTGCTGGGCAGGCCTGGCCTTGGCAGGCTGGCCTCTCGCCACCGCTGTGGGGAGAGGAGGTGGCAGGGGTGAGGTTTTACTCTCAAGACTGGGGGATGCTGGCGGCCAGAGGCAGATCATAGGGAGACGCAGTGAACACCCTCTTCTTGGGCCCCCGCCCCTCCAGCCTGGCACCTCCCTGAGTGCCTGATCTATGCAGTCCCAGAAACGCCTATCTGCCCGGGTTCCTGGGCCTGAAGAGAACCTGGGGGTTCTCTGGACAAGTGCCGGCTGCCTGGCTCAGGCTCTAAGCCCAGCCCACGCTGCCAACTCCTTCCTGCCTGGTGCTTCCCAGAAAGGGAAGCCGCCTTCCCCCCACCTTGACTGTCCCTCTGGGTCCTCTTGCTGACCCCCTGCCCATGGGGGACACGCCTCGATCCTCAGCTTGAGGTTGGGGGAATCCACAGACTGTGGCCATCCAGACTTGTTCTGGCGCAACTCTACATGAAAAAATAAATATATATATATATATATATTTTTTTGTTTTTAAAGGAAAAAAAAAGGAACTCGTGTTTCCTGGGAGAACAGCGTAGTACCACACTGGCCTGGCTGCCCGCCAGCTGCCCCTTATTGCCTTTAGAACAGCGTCTCTGGGGTTCGCACTGCGAGTGCTCCCCGGGGAGCACAGTGAGTGTGTCTGGGTGGCCGTCGCTGGGGGCCTGCAAGATGGGCTTGCGAAGGAAAAGGAAACCAGACAGGAGATGAAGGCTGTTGTTGTCCAGCCCTGTCCCAAGGCTCCCAGGGTGCCTTCTGGAGCCCAGAGGCGGCCTGGCTGCTGGTCAGGGCTTGGTCGTGCTGGGAGGAGAGAGAGCCGGGCGGTCTGGCCCGGCCAGGTCAGTAGCTCAAAGGTGGAAGGACCTGGGGGACCCAAGCCCAGGCATGTGGCCTCTGGTGGGAGAGGAACTGATAGAAAAAGATCGTATAAATTGTCCTGTTTGTACAAATAGTTTTTCTCTCAAAGAAGTGGCCTCTGGATGCTGGAATTTCTTCTCTCCATCCTAGGGCCTCCAAGAAAATAATTTAAACTCTATGAAAGTGCTCCTGGCTGCTTTGTGGAAGGAGGGGGCTGGGAAGGGATGACATCCATGCTTTTTGGAGCTAGTACACTGGGGACCAAAGGGTCCTAGTCTGTCGCCCTGGGGGCACTTGCTTCTTTGGGGTGTGGGGGTAAAGACTCATTTCACGCCATATTTTTTCATGCAGGGGCTCTGCCCACGAGCCAGGCTGCTGGGTGCAGTGAAGAAACCTGGCGTGTGGGTCCTGGGCACTGTGGAGGCTGGATGCTGACCTCTGCAGCCCCTCTCACTTTCCCACAGCCGGGTCCTAGGCAGAGTCTGGGTGACCCCAGGGACACAGGGGGTCAGTGCAGAGGCCTGAGACCAGGAGTTGACCTGACTCACAGCCTGGGGAGGCTCCTGCAGGCCCCACTGCTAGCTGGGGTTTCTGAGTCCACGTGGAGAGCTGCGGGGGCAGTAGGTACCAGGCCTGGCTAAGTGACCTGTCATGCCGGCCACCAGGGGCCTACAGAAAGAGAGAGGAGGACAGGAGCCCGCGGCCTGCCTGCAGGCAAGGTGCCAGGGCCTGGTGGCCTCTCGGCCTCAGAGCTCCTTTTTCTCCCTGCAGAAAAGCTCGGCGAACTTGCGTAGCTGCTCGCTGGCGGCCTGCGACTCCTCCTGCAGCCGCTGGTTGTTCTGCCGGAGGCTGGCCACCTCTGACTGCAGCACCACCTTGTCCTGCTTCTCCTGTGAGGGGGGAGGGCTGGGCATCAGGCCGGTGGCCTTGGTAGCCCCCAGAACAGCCAGTGGCCCTGGGGATCTGTGAGCCCAGGCCAGAACCAGTTGCAGGGGTTCAAATCCCAGCTCTGCTTCCACAGCTGAGTAACCCTGGCCCGTCACATCCTGTCTGTGGGTCCCGTTCCCTCAATTCTGACAGGGTGGCTCCGAGGGGTCCCTGAGGTATGCAAAGTCCAGAACATAGCCTGCCTGGGAGTAACTGACGAGCATCGCGATACTGTCATCACCTCATCCTACCCCCACCCAAGGGCCAGGGGACGGTCATTATCCTCATTTTTCTGGAAGATGGAACCAAGCTTCACATAGCGAGGCAGCCTGAGCAAGCCCTATCACCTATTCTAAGAGGCTCTTCCTGGGTGACAGAACACTGGCTAAGCCAGTGACTTGCTTAAGGTCACATATTACTAAGGGTGGGGCAGGGTTTGAACCCGGGCCGCTGTGATTCCTGAGCTGGAGGAGTACATTGTGCTCTACTTCTTTTTATTTACATATATATTTAATTTTATTTATTTATTTATTTATTTTTATGTGGTACTGAGGATTGAACTCATAGTCTCATGCATGTGAGGCAAGCACTCTACCACTGAGCTACGACCCCAGCCCCTTATGCTCTGCTTTTTAATTTTGACCTCAAAGTATATAAATGACAGACAAAAGTCTCCTCTGCCTTGTCTCTCCTCATTCTTGTACATCCTAGGGACAGTCCATTTGGAATGCCATCGCCTAGTGTCCCTCCTTTTTTTGTGTGGTGCAGTGGATGGAAGCCAGGGTCTCGTGCAGCCAAACAGGCACTCTACCATGAACCACATCCCAAGCCCTACATGTCCCTCTTAACCCATGGTTGTTAATAATTAAAAACAAAACAAGCACAGTGGGCTGGGACATAGCTCCAGGGGAAAGCACTTGCTCAGCATGTGTGAAGCCCTGGGTTCCATCCCCAGTGTGGAGAAGACTAAAAAAAAAAAAAAAAAAATATGAGAAAGTTCTAGGAAACAGCTCTGCAGCTTGCTGTGTTTTGCACCGGAGTTCTGGGCCTTCTCCTGCACGTCAGTCAGGGGGTAGATTTGCTGTTTTAATTGGCTGCAGACCATTCTGCTGCATGGGTGTCCGTGATTTACATTACCCTTCTCCTTTTGATGGACAGCCATCTGGTCCCATTTTCATTGCCAACAGTGCAGCAATGAACATCTCTGCTCATGGATCTCTCTGTACCCAAGCTGGAGATTCTCACCAATTCCCACAGGTGGAATCGCTGGGTCAATTAGATCCACGATTACATTTCTTTTTTGTGGTGCTGGGGCTTGAACCTAGAGCCTCGGGCATGCTGGGCAAGCACTCTATCACTGAACTGTAATGTAGTTCCAGACCTCCAGTTACACTCCCCACACCCCAGCGGGGCAGCGCACCCAGGGGTGTTCCCACACTGAGCTGCATCTTCAGTCTTTTAACTGATTAATTTGAGACAGGGTCTCACTGAGTTGCTAAGCCTGGCCTGGAACTTGTGATCCTCCTGCCTCAGCTTCTTGAGTTGCTGGAATCATGGGTGTGCACCACCACGTTGCTCTACGATTACATTTTGGTAAATACTGCCCAATTGCTGTCCAAAAAGGTTGGACCAATTTGTTCTCCAAGAATGTCTAAGAGTGTCTCCGTGAGCTCCCTCGCCTTCTGAATTGTCACTTTCTCTGTTTTACTCATGCCTAGACCCAAGAGTAGCAGGAAGGAGGGTGGACAGGGGCCGAGTGGCCTCGGCAGGCGCCTCGGCGGGTCTGGGGAGGAGGGTCTGGGGAGGGGCAGCAGGTGTGTGCGCGGGCCCTCACCTTCTGGAGGTCCGTGTGCAGTTGCTTCAGCATCACTTCCAGCTGGTACACCTTGCCCGTCAGATCCAGGGGTGGCTCTTCACTGGAGAGAGGGAGGACAAGGTCAGCCGTGTGGCACCTGAAGCGGGCGTTTGCCCCAAGGATGGGCCCTATCTGGGACTTTTTGGGAGAATCTCTTCTCTGTATCCATGGGATACAAAAGTCCACCCCCGAACAACTACTGAGCATCTGCAGGTCAGGCGCTGTTCCAGGCACAGGAAGGAGGAGGATAGACAAACGGACACAGGGCCTACTATGGTCAGGACCAACCACAGTGTTGGAAATGATGACAAGCCCCTATCCCCACTGCTGTGGGCCAAGCCCTGTGCCACCCAGCAGTCTGTGAGCAATCTAAGCGTCTCAGCCACTGTCCTGTGAGGGTACCTCACGTGAAACAGAGGAGGAGGCCTGGGCTTGGGGAGTGGGTGTCGCCACCCACTTTCCTCCCTTGTGCTGGTGTTGGGATCTGAACCCCATTGCCAGAGGCTCCTCCTCTGCTGCAGATTCTTCCAGCTCTGAGCTCGCCTGGCACTGCAGGGGAGAAAGAGGCTTCCCTCCCTGCTTAGAGCAGGTCTGAGGGAGGTACCTGTGGGCAGGTGCCATGGGCTCACAAGGCTGAGAGGATGGGGTGCAGGGGATGGGGTCGGGTGAGCTGCACAGGGGCGAAAGAGGTGGGGCCTGGCCTCCTGCCTCTCCCTCCCTTTCTCCTCCTCCACGGTTCTCTATCTTAGGGACCTGCAGGGGGAGGTGGGAGGCTGAGGGGAGGTCGTCACCTTGGGGTTCAAGGTGACTGAGCAGTGAGCCCAGGGGCCACAGGTCCTGCCACATCCCACACCATGGCTCCTGCAGCACCAGCGCTGCGTGCCCATCTCATCTTTACAGTGGGTCCCACTTTCCATGGAGGTTGGGCTGGGGCCAGTGTGTGGAGCAGAAAACACCCAAGAATCAAAATTACCCTCAAAAAAGGCTCCCGTTGCCCACAGAGCACACAGGTGCTGTGTGGTACCTGGGGCCCTGTGCTGCGAGGCCAACAGATGCACGTCAACACGTCACGCAGGCAGAGCGCCGTTACATTCTCTGCCTCCTTCCCAGAACCAACACACCGCACTGACGGTGAGAAGCCCCGTGTGCCATGGCCAAGCGAGACACCTCTCTGTCCTCTCCCCACCAGACTCCAGAGGGCGGAGCCTGGCCTCAATCACTGCAGGGGTCCTCATATATAGCCTGGCTTAGGCCTTGTCAGGGCAGATGTGAAAGGTGTTGGGTGCCAGTCTGCGCCACCTGGGGATCTACACAGGAGACCAGGAGGGGAAGATGAGTAGGGCGGTTGTGGGACGCTACTTAACATTTTTCAAAGTTGGAAGTAAAATAATTGTGTGAGGTTGTGCAAAGTGCCCTTGCCAGTGGACTGAGAGATCCACAAGGCAGGCGAGGAGTCTTGGCCACAGCTGGTCCCCAGTGCAACGCTGACATCCTGTTAGGCGAGGGGACCTCCTGCCCAGGGAGTGGTGGGGGTGACCCACAGCAGCCACCTCCTCACTGCACAGACCTCTTGCCTGTAGGGACCTGGGCTGCTGGGTCACTGGATGTTTCCAAGGAAACCTCACCTCATGGTAGGGGTGGTCCTGGGGGTCGGGGGCCCCCGCTCCAGGCTCAGGTGACTGTGGACAGGACTGTGTGCAGGTGGGATGTCTGGGCTCAGGGCTGGGTCGTTGAGAGAGAAGAGCGAGACGGCTCTTTGCACTGCCAGGGAGAGGGAGAGAGAGGAGAGGGGCTGAGTTCTCATGGGTGGGAAGGCAGGGCTCCCATTTCTTCCAGCTGACTGACCATGCCCCCCACCCCACAAACCTCCTGCCCAAACCTCCATGACATTTTCTTTTTTTGTGTGGTGCTGGGGATGGAACCCAGGCCCTTGTACATGCCAGACAAGCGCTCTGCCACTGAACTACGCCCCCAGACCCTGTCTGACATTTTCAATTTCATTTTGATATATCGTGAGGGCATTTAGGATGGATTTTTGCCAAAAAACCCAACCAAATAAAATGAGAACACAAGCGATAAGATCCCGTCCTGAGGGGGTCAAGCCTCTAGATCCAACTGCCGTTTACACAGCACTGAAGGCACAGATAAGCGAGCTCAAGGACACTGCGGGGCAGTGGCCAGATTCAGAGCTCGTACATTCTTGGTATAAATGCCCTGGTTTTGTTAACAAATAAAGGGTCTGAAAATAGTAGCCCAAAGTGGATGGGGCTGAAGCTGGGTGATGGGTCCATGAGACTCACTGCACTACTCCACTTCCTCCCGGGAAGGTTTACAAAATTCCAGCAAAATGAAAGAGTCAAATAGAAGAGGCACAGTGAAGAGAGGGGACGTCATGGGGCCACCAGGGAAAGCGAAGTCCCCGGCCCCCAGCACTTGACTTGGGTCAGGGCAGCCTGAGACGTGCGCGTTCTTAAACACGACTGTTGGGTTCTCTTTCTGTAACAGCAAGAACTGGTGACGGCCGCAGTGTCCTTAATCACTGGACTGTGAGCCACGGTCGGCCATGCAAGGGAACACTCGGGGGCATCAGAAACAAGGTGACTTTGTGCCAGGTATGAAGAGGGTGGACGCTGCCATTTGGGTCTGGAGGGTTTCCCAGCTCAGCCTCTTCCACTCTCTCTAAAACAGCACAGTGAAGACCGGAGGAGCTTTCCTCAGAGCCACTCCCTGCTGCCACATTGGCTTTCTCCTCTTCCCATCTCAGTTTACCTTCTCCCTGAACCGCTGTAGAACACACTGCAGGGGTGGCGCTCAGTGGCAGAGCACTCACCTAGCACGAGGCCCGGGTTCCATGCCCAGCACCACAAAACAGAACAATAACAAAACCGAGCTCTGCAGTGCGCTGGAGCCACCTTCCCTCCCTCCCACTGCAGGCCCTCCCCTGCTTCCAGGGAGCTGGGGTGTCCTCCTCCTCTCCTGACTCTTTCTCTGTTTCTGTGCTGCTGAGGGTGAACCCAGGGTGCCCTGATACTGGGCCACATCCCCAGCCCTTTTCTTTTGAGTCAGGGCCTAGCTAAGTTGCCCAAGCTGTCCTAGAACTTGAGACCCTCCTGCCTCAGCCTCCCAAGCTGCTGGGATTACAGGCCTGTGCCACCATGCCAGGCTTCTTCCGGGCCTTTCTGCTCTATTCTCATCTCTCTTTCCCAACCTTCTGTGGCTCATCTATTATTATTTATTTTCTTGGTACTGGGGATTGAACCAGGGGCACTTAACCACTGAGCCACATCCCCAGCCCTTTTTCGTATTTTATTTGGAGACCGGGTCTCACTGAGTTGCTTAGGGCCTCACTAAGTTGCTGAGAGTCTCTGAATTCATGATCCTCCTGCCTCAGCCTTCCAAGTCACTGGAATTACAGGCATGTGCCACTGTGCCTGGCTCTTATTTTCATTGTTAACTTTTTTCTTTGTTTTGTTTTTGGTACTGGGGATGGAACCCAAGGCACTTTGCCATTGAGCTTTTCTGATTTTATTTTTATTTTTTAAAATATTTTTTAGTTGTTGTTTGTACCTTTGATTTTTATTTATTTATATGTGATGCTGAGGATGGAACCCAGTGCTTCACACATGCTAGGCAAGTGCTCTGCCACTGAGCCACAACCCCAGCCCATCTTATTTTATTTTGGGACAAGTTCTTGCTAAGTTGCTGAAGCTGGTCTTGAACTTTCAATCCTCCTGCCTCAGTCTTCCGAGTCACTGATTACAGGTTGTGCCACTAGCATGCCCACGCAAGCCAAAATTATTAAGAACTTAGAATTGCTGGGCAAACGGGGTGTGCACATTTAAAATTTTTAGTAGATATGGAAGAGCTGACTTCCATGGAGGGGCTGGCAAGCAACTGACATTGTCCCCAGGTCACAATGCACACCTTCTCTCACCCTCCCTGGCAGGGTCATCAGACCCCACCTCGGCAGTTTTTCTGGTTCTGAGGACTGAGCCCAAGGGTGCTTTACCCCCGAGCTGCATCCCCAGCCCTTTTCATATTTTGAGACAGGGTCTCATTAAGTTGCTGAGGCTGATACTGAACTCATGATCCTCCTGCTTCAGCCTCCCAAATGGCTGGGATTATAGGCATACACCACTGTGCCAAACCTCTGCCTATTTTGTGTGTGTTTGTGTGTGTGTGTGTGTGTGTGGTGTGGGATTGAACCCAGGGCCTTGTTCAGGTGAGGGAAGCACTTGACCAACTGAGCTATAGCCCCAGCCCCCTATGCCTATTTTTATTTGGAGGATGTGCAGTCCTGGGTTCCAATCCTGACCCATGTGTCAGGTGACAAAACACAGCTAACTTTGTGGCAACTCAGCCTCAGTTTCCTCATCTGCACATGGGAGTCCTAATATATTCCTCAGATAGAACGAGAAGAGGTGAGTTTGCCAAGTGCTAAGTGCTGGATGGAGTGGGGCCTCTTCTTGGAAGCGCACCAGGTCACTGGAGAGCAGAGATAAAACACTACACAGTGAATAAGTAACGTGGCTCCCCAATTCTGGGACCTGGGCGCAACTGCCTGCGAAGCCACAGGCCCTCAACTGATCCTTCTAGTGCAGCGGAGATGAGGCTCCGATCGGGTGGGGTGGAGGCACCTACCTTCATAGGCCTTGGCTGCATTTACCAGGCTGGACCATTCAAGACCAGCAGCTGTATCAGGCAGGGGCATCATCCCGGGGTCCAGGCGCCGCAAGGGCCGGTCCCGTCCATCAGCCAGTGAAAGTTCTGAGGCGGAGATGGCAGCTAGGTGGGGAGAGTTGAGCACAACGTGAGAGGCAAATGAATACTTTCCACTGCTTATCAGAAGATCCCGTGAGGGAAACCTCCAGTGGGTGAGGGAATTGGAGCTTGTGCGGTGCAACTTTTAACAGGGTGGTGGAGACGCCTTGCTCAGAAGGTGACCCTTGAGCAGATCTGGGGAAGAGCATTTAGGGCAGGTGCAGTAGCCAGGGCAAAATCCCCGGGCAGGAACAAGCTGCAGGTTTAAGGAATACTGAGGAGGTCCAGCTGGGACAGGGTGAACGAGGAGAGCTGTGGCAGGTTAAGTCAGAGGTGACAGGGCTGTGGGGCCCTGTGAGTCCTGACCAAGCTGTTACCCTGTTATCTGGAGTGCCACCCTGTCGTGGCAGGCTGGGAGGCTCCCTCTGGCTGGAGGGAGGGCAGTAGACAGACTGTGTGGCGGGGGGCAGGAGGAGGGGGCAGGGAGACGAGATGGCGGGAGGCTGCTGTGGGATTCGGAAGGGACCAGGGGTGGGACGGGGCAGGCTGTGGGTGGTGGGTGGGGGGGGCAAGTGAAAAGGGACTGGGTCCATTCTTCAGTCGTCACGTGGAGCCCCTGAAGAGTGGAGGGGGGTGTGAGACAAGAGAAGGGTCTAGGATGTCATCAGGTTCCGCTGGGTCTGGGCACAGCCAGTGGATTGGTTTCAAGTGGGGAAGGCTGGGGTGGAGGCATCAGGCACAGATGCCATTAAGACACCCGCAAGGCAGCAGTGGGAGGGGGCCCGCCAGAGGAGCCTAGAGTTGGGGGGAGTGTCGGCGTGCTGAAACTTGGGGCACCAGTTTATAGACAGTATTGAGATGTGGCAGGGTCACTGTGGGGAGACCTGGTGGGTCAGATTTGACATAACGGGCAGAGGAAGAGGCCTTGAGGCCTCAAGGTTCTGGGAATGGCAGGCGGCAGGAGCATCGTGCCAGCAGCAGCTCGAGTCCTGTGTGCCAGGCTGAGGTCCTGGGCCTGACTCTGGAGCCCTCAAAGGGAAGGGACAGAGGAGGATAATGAGGCAGACAGGGGTCAGGGGCCTGACCAGGCCTGCACCATGTCCCCAGCATACTTCCTCTGTGCGGGGTAAGCTGGGGTCAGGGGGTCATCTCACAGCCTTGCCGTGGTGGGGGAAGGGAGGGTGGCATTATGACCTCCACGTATGGAGCAGGAAAACCAAGGCTGGAATTTGGGGACTAGTCCTGCTTGGAGCCAGACCCCACGGGCCTAGAAGGTTTGGAAAGTCCAGGCTCCTAGTGTTTTAACCCTTGTTCTCTAGTCTAAAGGGGCAAACCTGTCTCATGATGCTCATTCTAGCGGGGAGGTGGGATGGAAAAAAGCTGACCAATAAGGACTAAGTTGTTGTAAGCAGCAAGAAACTCTGGTGAGGTACTGCACACCAGGGTGACTGTATCACAATTATGTACTATATACCCTCCAAAACTAGAAGAAAGGATACTGAATGCTTTCACCATGGAGAAATGATTGATGGTAGAGCAGACACATGTATACTAAAATATCACATGGCACCCCAGTATTATGTACAATCCTTATGTCTTTATGTATCAGTTGAAAAATAAAGCTCAGTGGTACACTTTTGCCTACTACGACCACGGTCCTGGGTTTGATCCCTAGAATCACATACACAAAATAATTAAAATAAAAAATTAAAAACACTAACAAGTTGGTGGCATATGCCAGTGACTCTGGAGGCCAGGGCTGGGGTTATGGCTCAGTGACAGAGTGCTCGCCTGGCATGCGTGAGGCACTGGGTTCGATCCTCAGCACCACATAAAAATAAAGATATTGTGTCCACCTATAAATATATAAATTCCATTAAAAAAAAACTGGAGGTCAGCTGGGCATGGTGGTGCACACCTGTAATCCTAACAACTTGGAAGGCTGAGGCAGGAGGATCGAGTTCAAAGCCAGCCTCAGCAATTTAGCGAGGCCCTAAGCAACTCAGTGAGACCCTGTCTCTAAATAAAATACAAAACAGGGCTGGGGATGTGGCTCAGTGGTTAAGTGCCCCTGAGTTCAAACCCTGCTACCACCCCCCTCCCTGCAAAAAAAAATGGAGGCCAGCCTGGATAATTTAATGGGCTCATGTCTCAAAAAATAAAAAGGGCCGGGGATGTAGCTCAGTGGTAGAGTATTCCTGGGTTCAATCCCCAGTGCCTCAAACACAACGCAACACAACAATAAAAAACAAAATCCCCCAAACCCACTATCAACAAAAATAAGCAGCCAGTAGATTTTCAGTACTAATGACACATTTAGATGTTATGCTGGGTTTGCTATACGCTAATATCTATCTATCTACCTATCTATCTTTATCTTTTCAGTGGTGAGGGTCAAAATCAGGGCTTCACACCCTAGATAACACTACCACTAAACTTCATTCCCACTGCTTCTGAGACAGTCTTGCTAAGTTGCCCAGGCAGGCCTCCTGCCACGGCCTCCAGAGTTGCTGGGATGACAGGCGAGGCCAGCGCTCCACCCCTGAGCTTTACCCTCAGTCCTCTGGTGAGATTGTGCATCTCTAACCCTAACCCTTACCCTAACCCTGAGTTCAATCCCAGGAACCACCCCATAAAAGCCAAAGGGATTGAACCCAGGAGTGCTTAACCACTGAGCCACATCCCAGTCCTTTCTTCTTTCTATATTTTTAAAAGTATTTTTTAAAACTGTCAATGGACTTTTGTTTATTAATTTATTTATTTGTGGTGCTGAGAATCGAACCCAGTGCCTCACATATGCTAGGCAAGGGCTCTAACACTGAGCCACAATCCCAGCCCTCTCCTTTCTATTTTGAGACAGGGTCTCGCTAAGTTGCTTAGGGCCTCGACAAATTGCTAAGGCTGGCTTTGAACTTGCAATCCTCCTGCCTCAGCCTCCAGAGTAGCTAGGATTACAGGTGTGCATCACCACGCCTGGCTCCTCCTGCACCTGATTCCTCTGGTGATATTTTATAGTCAAAGAAACTGAGGCACGGAGAAGTCCCATTGGAGGGGCTGGGGAGAGAGCTCAGTTGGTACAGTACTTGCCTCGTATGCACAGGCCCTGGGTCCGATCCCCAGCACCACCAAAAAAAGAAAAAGAGAAGTCCCATTGGTGGCAGAGGCCTGGGACAGGAGCTCAGGCCCCATTTTGTGGCCTGATGGGGGTGGTGCGCATACCGTCCTGCTCCTGGGGATACTAAAGACAAATAAAGGTGTGGAAAAGTCTCACCCCTGCACCTTCCCCACTATGGCAAACTTGGGGGAGCCCTGTCAGTTAATAAATGTTCACCAAACTGCCTGGTACCAGAACTGGGAGCTGCAGGGTGGAGCTGGGGGCAGCTGCTGCAATCCCTGCCCTCAGGCCTGCACCCAGAGGGGCTGAGACCCTGTCTGGTCTCAGGAGAATCCCAGGAAACTCCCTGATGCTTGGCAAGCACCTTCTGCTCTTGGGGTGACACCCAGTGCCCAACCATCAGGCACTTCTGAAATTCACAGGCAACCCAGTCCCCTCCCTCAGGTAACTGACCCAGATAACCACCAGGTGACCAGGAGAGTGCCCAGGCTTACATTTCTTCTCTGGGAATCCGTTGCCAGTGGCAGGGATGGCGCTGGGGCCGCCGCTGGGAGGGAGTGGGTGCTGGTGCTGGCGGCGGGCGGGCAGCGTGCTGGAGGGGAAGGCGCAGGTGCTGGTGAAGAGCACGTCACTGGGCAGGCCTGGCTCCAGGCTGGCAGGGGTGGCAAAGCTGGGCTCCCGGCGCCCGCTGCACAGGCTCTCGTCTGACAGTGTCCGCTGCAGGCTCTTCTGGGGGGACTGCTGCCAGGACAGGGGGGAACATGGGGTCAGTGTCATAGGGGGCCCCGGTCAGTCCTCCAGGGCTTCCTGCCCACCTAGCCTCCATCTCCAATGAAAGTACCTGGCTTCCCCTGGGCTCCCTTCCCTGACCCACAGCCCATGGCCTCTGGCGGGCTGACCAGCTCCAGGCAAGCGAGGCTGAGGCCGGGCAGGGGAGGGGAGGGAGTGAGCCACACGGGCCCGCGAGAGCCAGGCTGGGACTCCAGCAGGCACCAGTGTCCTCTTCCCCTGTGCTCTGGGCTGGTGGGACACAACCTAGGGAGCCTGAGGCCATCTCAGTCCCCTCAGAATGTGCCTGCCTGACAGTGAGGCTATCTAGGGCAGGCAAGGACGAGATGACAATGGAGCCACCATGTGCCTGCTCTTCTGGCCTTGCCCTGTCCTTGGGGAACGAGAGTGCGCCAGAGCTTCCCCTGGGACCCCTGCTCCACTCCAGGACCCCGAGCTCTGGGCGGGGGGCAGCTGCTCCACCCTGGGCTCTGGGAGAAGGATGTGAGCCAGGCCTTCCTGGTGCCTGCCTGAGATGGCTTAAACCCCAGTTCTGTTCCTAATCAAAACAGGGCCCTCACTCACACATCCCAACAGGGCCGCAGATGCGCTCCCTCCTCCCCGCCCTGCCCCAGGCCACCTGGCCACGCACCCCTGTGTCCCTCTCCTGCTCTGGCCCCAGGTTGTCCATGATGATGAGTTTCTTCAGGTCATCCTCAATGGTGGACTTGTAGTTCTTCCGAGGGGACCGGAGGTCTCGCAGGGATGCCCTTAACCGCGGCTGCCCAAAGACGTTCTTTGTGTTGGCGTCCACCTGCCTGCAAGCAGAGCGCGGGGGTCAGGGGCCGCAAGCTCCTTCCAAAGCTGTGGGGACTCACAGCCAGCTGCCTCTGGTGAACGGCTACACCTACTCCACCTGGCCAAGGCGCACAGCAGAGCCCTGCCCACTCCGTATACTCATCATCCAGGCACTTCTTGGGAACATCTCTGGCTGAGCCTGTTCCAGGGACTGGGGAACAGCCGTGATGGAGCCCACGTCTAGGAAGGGCGACCAACACTGACCAAACGAACAGAGGGACCCCGTGGGTGAGCTAGAGAGATTTTTTTTTTGCAGTACTGGGTGTATTGAACCCAGGGTGCTCCACCCTTGAGCTACAGCCTCCTTTGTGAGATAGGAGGGTTTTACTAAGTTGCTGAGGTTGGTCTTGAACTTGGAATCCTCCTGCCTCAGCCTCCTGAGATGCTGGGATTATGGTCGTGCATCACCGCACCTGGCTGAGGGAAATATTTTGAAGAAAAACAAAGCCAGGTACCGGGGTGGGAGCCAGGGAGGGCTGTTGTCAAGGGTGACACCTGGGGGCCGGGGTCTGGAAGGAAGGAATCCCATGGAAGGGCTTCCAGGTGGAGGAAAGAGCCAGAGTTGGGGCCATGAGGGGCGACAAGCTTGGTGAGCTGGAGGAATGGGGGATGAGGGGGCAAGAGGTGGGAGGTGAGGTCTCGGGGAGCAGGGGCGGATGTGTGGGACTTGAGTGACACGGGGACTTGGGACTGCATCTGAGGAGCCCAGCAGGTTCTGAGCTGAGGAGTGTTAGGTCCCAATTTGCAAGTACTGGGGACATGAGGTGCCCTTGTGACAGCTGACATGGACTCAAGAGGCCCCTAACCTCTGAGATGCTCAGCCCTGTGTTCCTGCTGTGGGCGGGGCTCCACCATTGTCCCCTGTGGCTCCAGGTTGACAAGGCCGCCCCCTGTCCTCCACTCAGCGGCCCCCAGGGCCGGGCCTCTTGCATTTAGACTGTGGCCTAGCTTCTGGGCTCAAGTCTGAGCTTCTTGGTAAAAATATTCAAGCTTCCTGGTGAAATGAGGACCTGACCTAAGGCACGGCCACCCCTAAGAGAAAAAATGACAGTGACCAGGTACATCATCCTCACCGGACACCACACAGGGAGCCCCTCTTCTGATCATTCCCATTTCACAGATGGGAACTGAGGCAGGAGGTGGGAGCCTGTAACACTGGCCGTGCCTTCTACCACGGTCCCCTTTCCCTTTCTTACAGCAGCTGTTGTGACCTGTAGCTGTCTTTGTCTCTGGTCTGTCAGCCGAGCAGAAAGAGAGCAGCAGCATAGCAAGGCCCGGCTCCCTGGGCACATATGCGAATCCCCCAAGCTGCCCTACTCAGATCCCATTTCATGGATGAAGAGATTAAGGCACAGAGGAGTTAAGCCACTTGTCCAAAGTCACAGAGTTTGTGGAGGGAGGAGTCAGGATTCAAATTAAGGCAACGGGTTGAGGAGTCTACAGTTGCCACCACCAAGCTTGACTGCCATGTTTTGTTTTTGATTAACAAGTTTTATGCCTTCAAAAGATAAGAAATGCATGCACTTTTTGAAAACATTTCTGATCAGATCACTGTAACTATAGAAATTCCAGAAACATCTAGAGAGATAATATCAACTTAGAATTTATATGGGCATGGTGAACATCATAAAGGAGTGTCCTAAACAAGCCAGCTGTGTGAGCTGTCCTAACATGACCCAGACTCTCTAGAAACCTCACTGACTGACAGACCCCTGCGTCGTCTTAGAATTTCTTGCCCTCTCATGCTCCCCACTTACTCTGGCAACTGTCCTGCCAAAGAGCCTAGGGTAGCCGGTATTTCTAAGTCTTTGGAGCCTATCACCATGATGCTGGCATTATGTCCCCTGGGTGGGAGGACAGTCAGTGGCCATGCATGTAACTGTAGGACAGAGACAGCGATGATGGGACACCGGGAAGGTGCCGTGCTGCCCCACCGTTTCCCTTCCAGGTGAAAACCACCTTTTTCTCTGGTGTCTTCTGATGGCAGGGATAGAAAACAAAAGCATTGGTGAGCACTGTGACCTTCTAGGTAGCAGAGCTGAATTGGTTTGCTCCAAAAAGAAACCCCACCTGGAACAGCATCATCGAGTAAAGCTTAAAATGATAATCAAGGGTACTGAGGACCCTGTTATTCTTCCAAACCCAGCCACCTTGACCGCCATGTTTACATCACACGTGGGATGAAAACCTGTACAGTGCATGGAACATGATCACATTTGATTAAAAATATGCCTCTGGGGCTGGGATGCGGCTCAGTGGTAGAGCGCTCGCCTCGCATGTGCGAGACCCTGGGTTCGATCATCAGAACCACATAAAAATAAGGGGAAGTGAAATAAAGGTATTGTGTCCAACTACAACCAAAAAATAAATGTAAAAAAAAAAAAAGATATGCTTTTATGTGCAAAAAAAAAAAAAATTTTTCTGGAAGAAATGGACCATGATTACCTCCAGGAAGTAGGAGGTAGGAAAGTGGGACTTTTACTTTACATCTAACACCCTTTGAACTGTGAATTTATTTCACCATACTAATGATGATGATGATAACAAAAATAATAACAATTAGTTTTAAAAATGCTGATGCCTGACCTTCATCGTTTTGTAATACAAGAAAGAGCCTCTGAGCCTACAGAAGAAATAAGATGTCTTGGGCTCCTGAGGGTTTTGAAGTCTGCATTTTCTTTCTCTTTCTCAGTTGCCAGCCTTGGGATTTTTAACAAAGGGAAGAAGAGAAGGTGCCAAGTTTTCTTTTTTTATCAGGTCACATCCCTCCCCAGCCTAGAGCTCAGGTGGGGGCAATGCTGGCTCCACCCAGATTAGGCAAGTGTATTCTCCAGGCAGATGAGAAGCTTTAGGTCTGGAGGACAGAGAGACAGACACAGAGACAGAAAGAGATGCACACACCCCTTCACCATGGAAGATGAAAGGGACCTCCTTTTCCCCCACCTTTGATTTTGGCATTTTCCAGAATCTTCCCTCAGCACAGGCCCCTGCCTTGGAGAGGTAGTAGGTCTGGCCTCAGTGTTGGAGTCCTGGTAAGCCCTGGATTCAATCCTCAGCACCAAAACCACACACACACACACACACACACACACACACACACACACTCTCCTTCCCTGTTCTATTTCATTTATGTTCATTTCCTAAAATCAACTTCCCAGACTCCAGGAACTCTAGTATTCTCAACAAGGCATTCCTAGTTCTTAGGAGGAAGGCTGGCTCACTAGAGGACATCATGCTAGAACTTTCTCCTGTGACCCTCCATCTGCACCATCCCACCTATGGCAGCCTGTGTTCTGATGCTCCTGGGGGGCTGCTGAGAACACGCCTACAGGGGAGAAGCACGGCAAATCCAGCTCAGTTATCCCCCCACCCCTCTGCAGTGCTAGGGCTTGCCTTGTGCACACCAGGCAAGTGCTCCACCAACGGAGCTGTGGCCCAGCCCTTAGTTGACCACTTTTGTTTTTCCTTTTTTTGGTATGGGGATTGAACTTAGGGGTCACTCAACCACTGAGCCACATCCCCAGCCCTATGTTGTACAGGGTCTCACTCAGTTGCTTAGCGCCTCTCTTTTTGCTGAGGCTGGCTTTGAACTCGTGATCCTCCTGCCTGAGCCTCCCAAGGTGCTGGTATTGCTTTTCTTATCCTCTTCTTTCTGAAGAATCTTCAGATTTTTTTTTTCCTTTGGTACTAGATATTGAATCCAGGGACACTTTACCACTGAGACACATTTCCAATGCTCTCCCTTCTCCGCCTTCTTTTTGGAAATAGGGTCTCTCTAAGTTACTGTGGCTGGCCTCAAACGTGCGATCCTCCTGCCTCAGCCTCCTGAGTTGCTGAGATAACAGGTGTGCACCATTGTGCCTGGCTATTTTCTTTCTTTCTTTTTTTTGGTGCTGGGTGTTGAACTCAGGGCCTCCTGCATGCTAAGCATCAAAAAAGCCAAACCAAACTAAACTAGGCCTACACATCCCTAATCTTGTTTTTTCTCTAGATCTCTGGTCTCCATAACTGTCAAATCCTAATGACCTCTGGGGATAAAATGGGCTGCTCTCTGACTGCTGACAAGGGCAAGGCCACCTTCTATGCCCTAATTTGGACCAGTGCCAAGAGATATGAAGAGAAAAGAGCAAGGGAGGAAGGCAGAAGACAGGTGGCCATGCCGATGCCAGGGGGCGCAAGGGAAGAGCATGTCACCTGTGCCGGGTCTTCTCAGGCATCTGTCCTTCCAGAGGCACAAGAAATGAAACAACATTGCTTCTAGGGGGGAGCTATGGGACGGGGTTGGGGGAGAGGCTTATTTTTCAACACAAATCCTTTTGTGCATTTTTTTTTTTTAACTGCGGTTCACCTTTCAAAGCATAAATGAAGAGAACGTCTCCAAGATCCTTTCTAATGGAACCAGACAGAGTACCTCTGACTCACCCATGCTGTCTAAGGGTGCACTCTGCCATGGCGCAGGACGCTCCGGGGCAGAAAAGGAAGGAAGGAAGGCTGCAGTGATGGCTGTGCAGTCAGGACAGGCAGCAGCAGCTCCTCCTCCCACAGTCAGGCCAGGAGCCGAAGGCAACCAGTGGCCAGACATGGCTGGGCTGGTCCCAGAGGACTGGAGTTCTGGTCTCCAACTGGGGTGGCTCCCTCGGGCCCTGGTTAATTAAGCTAATTAGCACTGCCCGCTGTCAGCCCGGCTGAGCTGGGGGTTCTGCCAACGCGGTTGGCAAGGAGACTCGCCGAGCTGTGCCCCAGGCAGTGGGCTCGCTGTCCTGGAAGGGCGGCTGGGAGAGGCCAGAGAGCAGAGGCGGGGACAGCCCCGCTGGGCGCTGGGGCTGGGCTTGTGGAACCAGGCCTTCCCTGGTCTCTCCTGAGCCAGAGCCAAGGGCCTCTGGACTTGTGTGCCAGGGGGAGCACCGGCACCAGCGCCCGCCAGCCCTGGGCACCCTCGCACTACCCCTGGGACGTAGGCGCGCCTTTCTTCCTTTTGCGGCTGGGGAAACTGGGGCGCAGGAAGTCGAGGACACTCAACCCACGTCCACCTGCTGCCCTGTGTCACCCCGGGCTGTGCTTGTGGTGAAAGCTGTGTTCTACACACAGCACCCAGCGCCCTGGGTCCTCAGCTGGGATGGCCGGGTGCTTCATAGGGACCATGGGAATTCCTCATGGCAGCCGTGGGACAGGACTGAGGACCACCTGTGCGTTCCAGGTGAGGGACTGACCCTCCAGGAGCTTCTATCACGGTGACATGGATCCAAGACACCATCCTCTGACCTGTAGGGCTGTGCGCTCAGGTGGGGCCGCGATACCACACCCACCTGGGGAGCACCCTCTCTCCCAGGCCCCAACTCCCTCACCTCACGCCCCCAACGGCCCCACGTGAAGGGGTTGCCTCTGGACGAGGTTGCTTGGGGTCCTCCCGGTCAGCACCCTGCCCTGTGGTAGGCCCTGAGGTGATGGCAGAAGCTCTTCCAAGGCCCATCTCCTCCTTGGTTTCTGGAGATGACCACTCACGTGCGGCAGCACTGTGCAGCGGCCCATGGTGGCTGTGCCAGGCCGCGAGGCTCTGGTGCCAAAGAGCCAGCTGTCTGCAGGGGCAGCTCCAGCCCCGCAGTCCTCCAGAGCAGCCGTCCCAGGTGGAGGGCTACTGGCCACCTGTCCTCTCTCCCAGCACCTCCAACTTGCCAGCAAGCCCTGTCTGCTGCAGTTCCAGATCATCCGTCCCGAGCCTGCCCTCCTCGCCTTGGTGGCTCTTGCCCTGCTCTCGTCCCAATGTCCCAGTGGACCCTGACAGTGCTCCTCCAGGATGTTCCCCACATGCAGCCACAGGGATCTATTAGCAGTTCAGAGCATCTCCTCGCTGTGCCACACCCTCCACAGCCCTGTGTTGGTCAGAGCAGATGCCAAGTGCCTTACACGAGGCCACAAGACTCACCATCATCTGCCCCACTGCTACCCTGACCTCATGTCCCACACCCTCCCCTTGCTCACAGGGTTCCTGCTACTGGACCCTCCTCCCAAGGGCCACACCTCGGGGTCTTGACTGTTGCCTCCTTCTGCCGACCAAAGCTCTTCATGCAGATGCCACCATAGCCGAGCCCCTGCTGACCCACCACGTGCCCTCCGCCCCTCACCCAGACCTGAGCATCAGTTCCCGACAGTGGGGACCTCGGCCAGGTTCCCAGCCATCCCCAGTGGGTGGACTTGGCTTCTCATCGAGTGAGCGTCACTCTCTTCGCGGACCAGAGCCACCCACCTGGCCTCACCGCCCACCCAGGCACTTACTTCTTGGGGTCGGTGAAGGTGAGAGGCCGTGGCGGGGGCTCGTCCGTCCTCTTCCATCCTGTTGGGTGCTTATTGCGCACAGGCTGCTTGGAGAAGAAGGACTTGGGGACAGAGGTGGAGAGCTGGAAGGGGCTGGCTTGGGCCAGCTGGGAGGGCCGAGGAGTCTCTGCACTGGCAGTTTTGTAAACCTGAGCAGGGAAGCCAGCCCGTGAGCCCATGTCACTGCAAAGAAAGAATGAAGGGAAGAAGTTCACGGACCCTAGACACGTCACCCTGGGCTGTACTGCTGCAGGATGTTCCACGACACGGAAGCCTAGAGAAAAGGGGGTCCCTGCAGAGACCCGTCCCACTCCAGCAATGCCCCAGCACATCTGCCCTCTCCACGGGAACCTAAAAAGGCACCCCCCGGCCCTGCTGTGCGAACTACGCAGTTGAAGGTGGGATCCCATCTGCCCACCTGTCTCTAGGTGACATGGCTGCTCTATTTCCTTCCTTTTCAACTGGGCATTAAAAACAGCCGTGTGTACACAGAGAAGGTGGCTTTTACTTGGGGGAGGGGAGGTGGGAGGATTTTGCCTTTCCATTATTGGGATCATACCGATTATTCTGTAACTTGTGATATTTTTTTCCAGGTGATGAGGACCAAATCCAGGATCTTGTACAGGCTATGTATAACTTTTTAAGAATATATTTTGCAGGGCTGGGGATGTGGCTCAAGCAGTAGTGCACTCATCTGGCATGTGTGAGGTGCTGGGTTCGATCCTCAGCACCACATAAAAATAAAATAAAGATGTTGTGTCCCCCGAAAACTAAAAAATAAATATTAAAAAATTCTCTCTCTCTCTTAAAAAAAAAAGAATATATTTTGCTATGTATGCTTTTTTGAAGCACTGAGTACATGTCAGATACTATAGTTAGCTAGTCTAAGACTACAGCTCCCTAAGCTAAATATTAGATTTTTGTTGAATTACTGTTACAACGACCTACTGATATCAACTGGACCTAAACTTTAGGGACACAAATGCTGCAGGAAATCAACTTTAATTTTTTTTTTTTTTGGGGGTGGTACGGGGAATTCAACCTAGGACCACACACGTACTAGCCAAGCACTCTAATACCGAGCTACATCCGCAGCCCTTTTTAAAAAAATGTTGAGTTAGGGTTGCACTAAGTTTCTCAAACATGCAATCCTCTTTCTTGTCTCAGCCTCCCAAGCAGTTGAAATTACAGGTGCACAGCATTGTGCCTGGTCAATTAAAGAAAAAATTTTAATGAAATTCCATTCCAAATAAGAGATATTTAATGACAAAATAGAAGATACCTTTGAAATATAAGCTAGTAAATCCTTTCTGAAGGTCGATTTAGTGGATGGGACTTTTGACTGTGGCCAGAGGAGGAGACTGGCAAATCCTTTCCCAAAGAGGCTCAAACTAACAAACCAAAAACCCTTTCAAGCAATCTGAAAAATGACCAAAGGCATACAACAATCTGGAAAGCACTAAGCTTGACAAACTGCTGAAGTGGGTAGGAACCTAGGGAATCTGTGGTTCCAAGGAGACATTAAGAGTATACAACAAAAAGCCAGGCACAGTGGTGCACCGTACGCCTATAATCCCAGCAGCTCGGGAGGCTGAGGCAGGAGGATCGAGAGTTCAAAGCCAACCTTAGCAACGACGAATCGCTAAGCAACTCAGTGAGACCCTGTCTCTAAATAAAATACAAAATAGGGATGGGGATGGGACTCAGTGGTTGAGTGCCCCTGAGTTCAATCCCTGATACCAAAAAGAGAGCATATAATAAGAGTTTCAAAAGGAGATGAGAGAAAGGGGCAGAAGAAATATCTGAAGAAATAATGACTGAAAACTTCCTAAATCTGATTTTTAAAAATCATTAATCTAAACATTTAAGAAGCTCAACAAACCACAAGTATAATAAATAAAGAGACCTACATCTTAAAAAACACCTGAAAGTAAAATACTAAGATAAGAATCTTGAAAGTATCCAGAGAAAAGACTCATCACTTACAGAGAAACACTGATAAAACTACCTGCTGACTTTTCATGTGAAACAATGGAATAAAATGTCATTTTCAAAGCACTGAAAGAATTCTATAACCAAGAATTCTATACCCAGAAAAACTACCCTTGAAAAAAGTAAAGGCAATCTAAAGATGTTCCCATTTAACAAAGAGAAAGAGAGAAAATGTGTATTGTTAGCACATCTGCCTAATAAGAAACAATACAGGAAGTCCTCACACTAAAAGAAATTAATCCAGATAATTAACATGCAGTTTTTTAAATTAAAAAAAAATTTTTTTTAGTTATAGGTGGACACAATATCTTTATTTTATATTTATGTGGTGCTGAGGATCAAACCCAGTGCCTCATGCATGCAAGGTGAACACTCTACCACTGAGCCACAATCCCAGCACAACGTGCAGTTTTTAAAAAAAATATTTATTTTCAGTTGTAGTTGGACACAATACCTTTATTTATTTATTTTTACATGGCGCTGAGGATCGAACCCAGGGCCTTGCACTTGCTAGGCGAGCACTCTACTGCTAAGCCACAACCTCAGCCTTTAACATGCAGTTTTTTTAAAAATGACTATAGATTTATGCTTTCACATTTCTTCTCTCACCCTTACTTATAGACAAAGGCAATAATTAACTCTGTTGTTGGGTTTATATCATATATGTGATAAAACTGCACAAAGAAGGGGAAGGAGTAGGGCTATACTAGAGAAAAATTTTCATGTATTACTGGAATGAAGTTAGTATTAACCTGAATCACACTGATAGATGCATACTGTAATAACAACAACAATAACAACAAAAAAAAGGTACATGAGTGAAATTCCAAATGACACACTAAATTAAATTTACACAGTCTAAAGCAATAAAGGAAAAACAGAAGCAAGAAAGATAGTAAACATAAAGAAAACAAGTAGCAAAGTATCAAGTATAAAACTATTATCAATAATTACATTAAGCCAGGCGCAGTGCTCATACCTGCAATCCCAGTGACTCAGGAGGTTGAGGCAGGAGGATTGTAAATTCAAGGCCAGCCTCAGCAATTTAGAAAGGCTCTAAGTAACTTAGCAAGACACTATCTCAAAATAAAAAATAAAAGGGCTGGGGATATATAAAGCACACCTGGGTTAAATACCCAGTACCAAAAAAGTTAAATTAATTAATAATGTAAATGGTTTAGTGGGGTGCAGTGGCACATGCCTATAATAGTGACTCAGGCATCCCCAGGTTCAATCCTCCAGTATACAAAACCAAAAAACAGTTTAGCCAGACACGGTTATGCATGGCTGTAATGCCAGCTACCTGGAAGGCTGAGGCAGAAGGATTGCAAGTTTGAGGTCAGTATGGGCAATTTAGTGAGAGCTTGTCTCAATAAAATAATACTAATAAAAAGGGCTGGGAGATACAGCTCACCCAAGCTTGCTAACCTAGCTTGGCCAAGGCCCTAGGTTCAATCCCTAATACCACGAAAAGGGAAGAAGAAAAAAGGGAATGGTCTAAACACTCTACTCAGAAGGCAGAGACTTGTAAGCTGGATTTAAAAAGCAACATATGCTTTCTACAATTCAGCAATGTCTATTAATTGTCAAAGGTTGCACACTGTGAGGAGATATCCAGGAAGCCCCGAAGCACATCACCATGAGCATGGACCTCATAACACTACAGAGGTGCAGGGAGGCTTCCCCAAGGAGGCGAGGGCTTCGGAGCTCAGAAGCGACCCAAGGGTGTCAGCCTAGTGTTTGGCCCCCCACAAACCACACCACGAAAAAGTTGCACAATACTCATTTGTACACACGGGGGTGCTCATAGAAGTGCTGTTATGATCAAGAAAAACTGGGAAAAAACCAAAATGATAAGAAAAGGTAGAAATGGTCTGAATGATTGAGATGGAACCAGGGGCAGTGTACTACTAAACTACATCCCCAGCCCTTTTTACACCCAGCCAGACAAAAATCTATATATACATACACACATATACTTGTGTTTATATATAATATGTATGTATATTTATGAAATATGGTTATGATTTTTTTCTTTTATAGGAAGGAAATTAGCAGTGCTTCTCCAACTGTAGGTCATGAAATAGACTTAGTGGGTCTTAATTTGTTTTTTTGGTGGTACTGGGGTTTGAACCCAGGGGATTTTTACTCCTGAGTCACATCTCCGGTCCTTTTAATTTTATCTTAAGACAGAGTCTTGCTAAGTTGCCTAGGCTGGCCTCATACTTGGGCTCCTCCTGCCTCAGCTTCCTGAATGGCTTAGATGATACGCGTGTGACATTGTTCCTGGTAGGTCTTAACAGTTCTATTCTTTTATTTTATTTTTTTAGCTTCTGGGGATAGAACCCAGAGCCACATACACGTTAGGCAAGTACTTTACACTGAGCTACACATACCCGGTGCAGGTCTTAGCAGTTCTGAGCAGGGGAAAAAAAAAAAGAAATAGACTAAAAAATATGTCAGTGTGATCACATAAGTTAAGTATTTAGTGAAAATTCCAGATGTCTGTGTTGGGTTATAATGTAAAATGTTTTTCTACTTTGGGGAATGGTCAAAATGTTTCAAAGAACTGGGTGGGTACAGGTTTGGAGAAAAATCTCTGGAGGAGTGTACACCATCTGATTACGTCTGAAGGGAATGATACTGGGGAGGTGTCAAGGACACAAGTCAGGTTAAACCGTATAAACTCGGCACAGGGCAAACAGGAAGTGGCCACCTGATACCTCAGTCTAGGTGTGGCTCAGTGGTAGAGCACCTGCCTAGCATGCGTAGGCCCTGGGTTCCACAACCTCGGAAAAATCAAAACAAAACAAGACAGGGAAAGAACCTGGGTCCTGGAGTCAATAAATGCCCCAACCTTGGGGCCTTCTCTGACCTTGAGTTCTGGGAGGTGATACATTTGCCTCAGGAGAGAGAATTGGGGAAAGGGAAAATATTGATCACAACAGACAAAGTTTCAGACTGGGGGAGTCAACTTTAGTGATCTACTGCACTGCACAGTGACCATGTATAATGTACAGTTCAGAGCAATGGCAAAAAATGGCCCAGTATTGGTGCCAAAATAGACATGTAGACTAATGGTACAAAATAGAAGACATAGAGACAAACCCCATAAATACAGTTACCTCATACTAGACAGAGGTGCCAAAAACATACATTGGAGAAAATATACCTATTCAACAAATGGAGCT